GAGTGCTGGGATTAAAAGTGTGTGCCACCACCGTCTAGCTTAAAATAACTTTCAAAAAAGGAAAAAAGCTGTGGTTGTGCACATTATTCATTCATTCATTTATTTATTGTTTTTTCAAGACAGGGTTTCTCTGTGCAGCTCTGGCTATCCTGGAACTCACTCTGTAGACCAGGCTGGCCTCAAGCTCACAGAGATCTGCCTGCCTTGGCCTCCTAAGTGCTGGGATTAAAAGTGTGCACCATCATGCCCAGCTAAAATAAAATCTTTAAAAAAAAAAAGCTACCACATACTGGGTTATGAGACTCCACCTGCATGAAGTACTTCCAAATCTGCCTCCCAGACAACCTCCCACCTGTGTTTCTTTCTTTCTTTTCTTTTTCTAAAATTTATTTAACTAGGCCGGGTGGTGGTAGCACACACCTTTAATCCCAGCGCTCGGGAGGCAGAGGCAGGTGGATCTCTGTGAGTTTGAGGCCAGCCTGGTCTCCAAAGAGAGCTCCAGGAAAAGCGCAAAGCTACACAGAAAAACCCTGTCTCAAACAAACAAACAAAAACAACAAACTTATTTAACTTTATTTTATGTGCATTGGTCCGAAGGTGTCAGATCCCCTGAAACTGGAGTTATAGACAGTTGTGAGCCTGTGAGCCGCCATGTGGTTGCTGGGAATGGAACCCAGGTTCTCTAGAAGAACAGTCAGTGCTCTTAACCACTGAGCCATCTGTCCCTCTCTCCAGTCCCGGTCCCGTCCCCCCTCCCCGTGTTTCTACCCCTGACTCCTCCCACTGCTTTGGAAGTGGAGCACCCTACCATTAATCCCCCTGTTACCTCTGAGCATATCATTATATGTGGAGGGACTCCAAACAGGGCTGCCTAAAATGCAGGGCATGCAGGGCTTTCTCCCCACTTTTCCCACTGACCTTCCCATCCGCTTCCTTCCAGTCATTCAGACACCTTGCCTTACGTTTCCTGAAGACCTCATTCCAACAGAGATGAACAGACAAAAGCTCTGGCTTGCAAGGCATACCCAGTCTCCCCCATCGAGAGCATTTCCCCTAGTGCGCCACAGGCTCTACTGCCCTGCAAAGATTCACACTGCGCCTCAGCACCCCGAGACGCACAACAAAGGACCCTATTTAACGGTTTAATAAGATATCAACGGTCCTAACATGATAACAACGGTCAATCACGCATTTCACTAACTTTGACTTACCTCCAAAGTTTCAAAGTTACATCCACTAGGTAGGCCCAGCTCCCTGTAGGGAAGTCTAAAAACCTAGCCAATCGCTTTTTACTCTTCCTGCCTACACCCTGTCTGATATGAAAGTCTCTTGTCACAGCTCTCTTTCAACAGGTCTTCCACCGTCACAAATCCTGGATCAGATTCACACCGCCCATACCAGCACCACCAGATCCCTGCTTGACCTCGTCTGGCCAGCCCCGTCCATCCTGCACATCTCTGCGCCACGGCCTACAAACGCTTTCCCAGTGGCCTCTCCCCTCCAGGTATACATCAGAACAGTCCAGCCAGAATGAAGTTCTTAGACATGACCTCCAGCGCCCAATCTACCATCTAGTAGCTACAGGACCCTGAGCCGGAACCTGAACCCCATTTCTTCACATACACACCGATGATTTCAAGGGCAGTGAACTCTCATTAGGGGTTGTGAAGGACAAATGGAATACATGCCGTGAAATGCTGAGCACAGTGCCAGAGTCAGGGTGAGCATTCAGGGCAAGCTTGGCGGTTGTGGTCTGCCAATGCCAAGGCTACCTCTACCACCCTGAGTCCTCAACCCCACCCACCCCATGATGACCGCTGCTGCAATCCTGCCGGTGTACCTTCTTACTGCTCATTCTGTGGAAGCTGTTTTTATAAGTTCCTCGGGCTCCAAAGCCAATGTGCCTCCTTGCTGTACTCACTAGTCTCCTGTATAGACTAACCACCATACTTAAGAGTGGGAGTCTTGCCTCACGCGTATAGACAGCATCTGCACGTGTCTGGCACCCAGTAGGCACTCAGCCAATGTTTGATGGATTTACACACACAGACCCCCAACCAACAAGAACAAGCACCAGACTGTGCAGACCTTGCCAAGAGAATGTGTTATGGAAACAGCAAGCCCCAGACCAATCCAAAGACCTTTGTGATGGCAGTGTTATTCATCAAACTCCACACAAACAGGCCAGGAGAGAGGTCAGGCTCGCTTGGCCAGAAAATGCCAGTTGTCTTCCAATTCGTTCCCAGCCCGAACCACAGGGCATAATGTAACTGTAACTGCTGTTTTCAGTGAGTATGCACGGTCCCGGCTGCTGCCTCCTATGGCAAAGGCACCAGGCTCAGGATTATATGTCCCTGGGCTCACCTCTGCCGGCCCCTAACCACAAAGGAGGTCAACAATCTCTAACATCTATAGTCTATGGCAGTGGTTCTCAACCTGTGGGTCATCACCCCTTTGGGAAATTGAACAATCCTTACACACGGGTCGCGCATATCAGATATTTACAACTTATAACAGTAGCAAAATTATAGGTATGAAGTAGCAACAAAAATAATTTTATGGTGGGGAGGGGGGGTTCATCATAACATGAAGAACTGTATTAGAAGGTCACAGCATTAGGAAAGTTGAGAACCACTGCTCTAGGGTCAGACCTTAGGTTCAGACTCCCAGGAAATCTCAATCCTGCCCTGAATCCTGAAGTATCGGGGACTCCACTGAAAAATGGGATATTATTGACATCTTGTGTTACAGGGCAGTGGCTCTTCACTGGGAAATGTTGGCCCCTAGGAGATACTGAGTCATATCTGGAGACATTTGATTGTTATAACTGGGGGGCGGGGGTGTGATCCTGGCGTCTGGTGGGTAGAGCCCAAGGATGCTGCTAAATGTCTCGCAATACAGAGGCTATCCCTACCCCAGCAAATGATTACTTGTCCCCAAGTGTCAATAGTGCTGAGGCTAAGAAGCCCTTTCTTTTTACTCTAAGGAAAAAGAACTCAAGAGCTCAGATGCCTCTAGGTTCCTTGACAGCTCCAGATGTCCTCACCAACCCTGCCCTTGGTAGTCTCAGCACGGGAAGCTCGGCTTTCACCTTCTTGCTCAGGTAAGCGTACAAACCTTCCAATGCCGGTGGACAGGATAGCAGTGGAAGTCTTCAGTTCCTCATAGAGGTCCGCGCCATTTAATGGGAAAGCCGAGAACTGTGCCAGCAACACCCTCCTCAGGGCAACCAGGGCCTGCCAATAGGGCAGACACTCAGGCTCCAGAGCGCCCAGACTGCCCAGCGACCAGCCGCCCCCCGCAGAGCAATCCAGATCTAGAGCCCCCTTATCAACTTCGGGGAACTCTGATCCTGCAGCTTGAGGACCCGCTCTAGAAGATACCTTGAGATGGAGCTTGCACATGGTGAGCTCACCTTGTAGGACAAGCCACACTTCTGGGCTACCTCCTCCAGGTTAGCAGCTGCCAGGTCCGCCACTGGAAAGAGACCAAGTGCAACTGATTAGCAACAGGGATGACTTAGCCATGCCACGCTTGCCTTTTCCTCTGTTGGGAAACGGCGTTAAGGTCTTAGTCTACTCCCGATTTCAAGTACGCAGGCCCTGATGCAGGACCCGGCGAGGAGCCCAGCACACAGTAGAGCCCTGTCTCGAACCCGGCCTCCCCACGAGGTCAGTGTGTGGCCGTCCTGTTAGAAGCGCCCCGCACTTGTGCCAAGACTGTGGCGCCAATCCCTGTGGTCGTGCCCAGTTGTGTGCTACGAGCCCAAAAGGTTACCTGTCTTGATCCTTCGGCCTTTCAGAAGCTGAACGATCTCCTCGGTGAGGCCCGGGCACAGCCCTGCCCTGAGCATGCCCATGTTCCCTGCAAACCTGGGACGCCCCGGGGTCTGTCTGTCACGTGGGTACCCGCCAACTCCCCCACAATGGGCGTCCCTCGGTTCCACTTCTGGAAAGGGTCCTGATGCGCCAGCGCGGGAGGAGGGGGCGGGAAGAGGATGCAGGTCGGGGTGAGGGACACCAGCCCTTCCCGACTCGCAGGACTCCAGGACCCTGGGCCCGCCCCCTCCCGGAGGACGCTTCCGGGTTCCGTGACTGGAGCGGCTTTTGTGTCCCAGGCCTGCAGCGCCATCTGCTGACCAAGAGGGCAAACGCGGCGGCCTGGCGACTCGCGCCAAACCACCTGCCAGCCTCAGAGCTACTCTTATCTCTCTCCTTCCTCCCTCCCTCCGTCCCTTTCCCTCCCCTCCCCTCCCTTCTTCCCTCCCCTCCCCTCTCCCTCCCTCCCTCTCTCTCTTACCCCCTCTTCTGAGAGTCCCTTGTATACTAGCCTCCATTCAAACGCTAGGGACACTCTCACCCTACTTACTGAGTGAAGCACACCTGCCTTCTAGTACCATTCATGTTAGGGAGACAGACAATGAGAAGGAGTCAGTTCACATCATACAGATTGTATGAACCACCAAAGTTCACGGAGAACACCTGCACCCCTGTATTTTCAAAAGAAATTGTTTCAAGTTTCATCTTATGTATATAGGTGTTTTGTCTGCATGAAGGTCTGTGCACCCCGCACCTCTTGCATGACTGGTGCCCAAGGAGGCCAGAAGAGGGAGTCAGATTCCCTTGGACTGGAGTTACAGGTGATTGTAAGCCAGTGTGTGTGTGCGTGTGCATGTGCGTGTTCGTGTGCGTGTGCGTGTGCATGTGTTGGGAACTCTAGTCCTCTAGAAGAGCAACCAGTGCTCCGAACTGCTAAGCCATTTCTCTAGCCCCATATTTTCCGAAGGTTTTTATTTTTCGAGACAGGGTTTCTCTGTGTATTTCTGCCTGTCTTGGAACTCACTCTGAAGACCAGGCTGGCCATGAACGCAGATATCTGCCTGCTTCTGCCTCCACCTCCTGAGTTTTGGAATTAAAGGCATACACCGCCACCACCTGGCATTTTCCAAATCTTTATTTTAGTGAGAGTAGGGGAATGCTTGAGGATTTAGAACATATAAAATATAGTTTACTGTGGAATATTCCTTTACACTGTGTGAATTTATGTGGCTGTAATTGGTTTAATAAAGAAGCTGACTGGCCAATAGCTGAACAGGATAGATAAGGTTAGGCAGGAGAGCCAAACTCAGAAGGCTGGGAGGAAGAAGGGTGGAGTCAGAGGAGTAGGGAGCAGTTGCAGAGAGAAGGTGGGCATGCTGTTCTGAGAACAGATGGCAAACACACAGATAAGAAATGTTGTTTAATTTAAATATAAGAGCTAGTAACAAGCCTGAGCTATTGGCTGAGCATTTTAATTAATATTAAGCCTCTGTGTCGGTTATTTGGGAACTGGCAGGCAGAAAAGTCTGCCTACAGTTTACTATTTTGAAATGTTCTTTGCCACATCCAGTGGAAGAAATAAAGCAGTTTCACAAACCTGAGTGAGGTTCTATTTCTCTCTATATTTTGTAGTTGAAGGAATTGGGGCTCAATGGGACTTTTATTCTCAGAGTGTAGTATGCACAGAACTGAATCTCAAGCCCACATCCAACTGCAAAGCCAGTGTTGCTGGACTTGCTCTCTCCCCTCCCCGGGAGTTGTGGGTGTGCTTCCCACCTATACTTTGGCTCTCTCCATAGCAGAGAAGTCTGAGCTGGGCAGTGGTGGCGCATGCCTTTAATTCCAGCACTCGGGAGGCAGAGCCAGGTGGATCTCTGTGAATTTGAGGCCAACCTGGTCTCCAAAGCGAGTTCCAGGAAAGGCGCAAAGCTACACAGAGAAACCCTGTCTCGAAAAAACAAAACAAACAAACAAACAAAAAAAAAAACCACAAAAACAAAAACAAAAAAAAAAAGCAGAGAAATCTGGCCCGTTTTTAGAACCATTTCTCCAGGTTCACCAATTGCCTCAAATATCTTTCAAGGTATTTGGAACTCTAGCACTAAAATCAGCTACTCTGTGAGCGGCACACCACAGTAAGCTTTCACTGTGCCTGTGCGACTGGCCGCAGTGGGATTTACCACTGAGATGCCAGGACAGAGAGCCTCGGCCTCAGTAGGCAAGGTCTTCCTCTTCAATGGCTCCTTGGCTCAGCCCAGGTGGCGTTTCTCTGTCACTAGCCTGCTCCTCCTTCCAGGACAGCTCTAGAGGGTGTCCTCCGAGGAGGACAGAGCAGCTGTGGCCACACATGTGGCCTAGAAGGGGCCATGTGTGCTGGAAGGGGCCATGAAGTTTGTTTCTTGGCTCTGTTCCACCCCGACACAGGCTTTTGGTCTGTCCAGCTGCACAGCAAAGCTCACCTCCAGGGGAGGCTGGCCCCTAATTGTTACACTCGGTGATGATTGTGAAGTCAGCTCATTGCTCACCCATCCCACCCAAACTAAAGGTGGGACTTTTGCCTCAGTTTTCTCTCTGCTTCCTGCACGGTGGTGACAGCTCTGGTCCCACCTACACCAGATGGCAACCGAGGTGTTCTGTGAAGTGGGGGGTGGGGAGGAGGCTATACCGAAGAAGAAGGAAACGCTCAACATTATGAATGTGATTGACCAACTGCCAAAGCCCTGTCCAAACTCCAAGTTTATTAACCGGTCTTTGGCTACCAAAGGCCTCCCGCTTTCCTCGGGACACAGCTTGGTCAACCACTTAGAGGAAGACACCACCGACGTCATGTAAGATATAATTCTGGGTCCTCTTTTCGAAGGCCAGGGAAGCTTCGCAGCCCACTCCGGAGTCCCTCAAGGAAGAACAAGTCAGGAGGTTCCCCAGGCGTCCCCTGAGCCCCACGACAGTTTCTGAGAGCATGTGGGTTGCCTGCTCTGGGAGGCCTTTCTCGATCAGTCAGTTTAGCGTGCTGGGTGCTTACCACCAGCCCTGCCCCATCCTAGGCTTCTCTCCTTCATTTCTCCCGCTTCATTGTCCTTGCCCACCTTCCAGCTGAGGTTCACCGGTCCTCTTAGTAAGTCTGGGCTTCCTCTAACTTCATGCCACAAAACTCTTTTCCTCTCGGTGAGAAATATAACCCAGTGTTGAGCTGGGAAGGCAAGACTGGGAAGCATAGTGCCTGCCTTCAAAGAACATCGGGCCTAATGTGCGTGGTGTTGGTTGTGGGGGACGTTAGGCAATAAAGAGGGTGGTACGGTACAGCCTGGGAAATACTGTCCCAGGGCGCCTTGAGAAACCAGAGGGGATTTCAAAAGGCTTGGTATAGTTTGGGACAAGCTGCAGGAAAGGGAGACCTCTTAGAGGAGGTGACATTTGAGGGAGATCTCCAGGGAAAGGGTTTCCAAGGTGATGACTGAGGTAACAGTACCAGTTCAATTGGGGTGACCCATGAGTGGGCCCTGGGCTTCCCTTAATGCCCTGCTGTCACTGTCCTGAGTCACCACCATATGGGTGCTGGGAATTGAACCCTTGCTCTTAACCACTGAGCCATCTCTCCAGCCCCACTCTTGAAATCCTTCATTATTTCTTTAAAAAAAAAAAAAAGGTTTCCATACTTTAGTTCTCATTGGGATCCACAGACTGTGGGCTAGTTTAGATTAGAGAGAGGTATGTGTCCATTCTAGGTCATCATTAGAGTGACCTGGATAAATGACTATTGTTTGTAGGAAATTTCATGATTTACTGGGTGAGGGGGAGAGGAAATCTCAGGCAAGGATCCCTGAGTTCAAATCCAAGTTCAACTGCTTAGATACATGGTCTCAGCCAAGTTCAAAGGCTAACACCCATCCAGCAGGGCTGCTGTGGAAATCAAGAAAGAGATGAGTCCAGAAAGCAGTCCAGGATCTAGGGGTCTTCTGTGAACCTTTAGCACCAGCATTTCCAGCAGGGGAGTCTGTTTTGTTGCTGTTGTTGTTAGTTTTGTTTTTTTGAGACAGGGGTTTTATGTGTAGCACTGGCTATCCTGGGACTTGCTCTGTAGACCAGGCTGGCCTTGAAATCATGAGATCTGCCTGTCTCTGCCTCCAGAGTGCTGGGTTTAAAGGTGTGCGTCACCACTGCCACTCTCCAGTAGGTGACTGAAATAAGAGATTCTTAGGACAGTCTGACGAAATGATGTCAACATCCTGACACTTCAGTTTACAAATACAGGACAGAACTTAAAGAGAAAGAACATCTGCTCCAAATGTCCTTCAAGAGCTAGTGTTTGGTGTGAGGGCTGGATGTTCTGGACTGATCCAAATCTCTCAGGAGGTTGGTGGGTTAGAGCCTAGGGAGGGAGCTTCATATGGCCCACAGAACAAACAGGAAGTAAGAATCTGGACTAGACTAATTGAGATTGGGACCTCGTTACAGGCCAGGAAATCTTAGCTGGTAGAAACAAGAATGATAATAATGATTAGACAAAGAATCAGAAGTCCCAGAGCACATCACAGGGGAAGGATCAGTCTGTGATGTTTAGTTTTACTTATATGTATGTGTGGATCAAAGTTGTTCTTTTTAAGGATTTGAAAGCTAATTTTTTTTTTTTGGATTCGTGCACTTCAGCAAGACAATGCAGGGTCATGTATTTTCTTTGTAACAGCAAAGAATAGTGACAATATACATATGTATGCAGGGACTGGAGAGATGGCTCAGTGCTTAAATGCATTGATTGGTATTCCAGAGGACCAGGGTTTGGTTCCCAGCATCCACATGATGTCATAACTATCTGTAACTGTAGTTATGGGGGATCCAATGTCATCTTCTGGCCTCTGCATGCATGTGGTATACATACATACATGTGGTATACATATATACATGTAGGTAAAACACCAACACACACAAAGTAAGTTCAAAAGCAACAACTATTCATGACACACACACACACACACACACACACACACACACACAAACAAACAAACAAAACACCCAACAAAACAAAAAAACATGAAACAAACAAAACGGCTGAAGCCTCTGCTACATATAGTACATCGGTACAGACAAATCAAAACACAACACAGAGCAAAATCCAAGTTTTGGATAGGTATGTATGTGCTGGATCATGCCTCTTATTTATACAGAGTCTAAAGACATGCAAAAAAAAATAGGTCTTGTCTCCAGTTAATATACATATGCAGCAAGCCTAAGATGACACCTAGAGAGTAATAAACAGAAGAAAAAAA